TATCATTCATATATATATATATATATATATATATATATATATATATATATATATATATATATATTTAGGTCTATGACATAAGAATATGTTGTTTGGGGGGGCTGGAAAGATGGCTCAGCAGTTAATAGTACTGTCTGCTATCCCAGAAGACCCTCAGGTTCAATTCTCAGCACCTACCTGGCAACTCACAACTGTCTGTAGCTTCAGTTCTAGGGCATCTGACACACGCACACAGACATACATGCAAGCAGAACACCCCAGTGAATATAAAAATAGAAGAATATTTTAGAGTTGGGTATGGTAGTGTATGCCTAAATTCTAGTACTTGGAAACCTGAGGCAGGAGGGTCATATGGTGGAGGCAAATGTAGCTATATAGTGACTTCAAGTCCAACTTTGGCTGTATAGAGACCCTTTGTCAAAAAAGAAAAAAAGTTGTAGACATAACATTTTGTCCTTTACTACATTAGTCCACAATAAAATGTCATCTATACCACAAAAGCATAATTATTCTTGAGGAAATAATCCAGAATTTTATAACTTTCAGAAATATCTTATTGGCCTCCAAACTGTCAGTTTTACAAATGTATATATCCTTCATGTGGGGTGGTGCATGCCTTTAATTCCAGCACTTTGGAGATAGAGGAAGGTAGATCTCTTTGAGTTCAAGGACAGCCTAGTTTATAGAGTTCTAGGACAGCCAGGGCTACATGGAGAAACCCTGTCTCTGTAGTTAAGAGATTTAGCCATTTCGATTCAAACTACAAGTGTCTTGCTTTCATGTATGTAAGTGCACTTTCTGTGTGCCTGGTGCCTGAGGGGGGCTAGAAGAGGATGCCAGATGTCCCTGGCTGCAGTCCAGCTAATCCAACAATGGCTAGTTGTAGATGGAAAGTCCAAGAATCTAGTAGTTGCTCAGTCCCAAAAGGCTGGATGCCTCAGCTGGTCTTCAGTATATGCTGGAGTATTGAAGACATAGGTTCTAATGCCAGGGCCTGTGTTCCTGGCTGGCTGTTCCTAGCTGTGGCATGTGTGGCCTCTGGCCATTTCTAGCTGCTGAGTGCACATGGCCTCTGACTGCAGAACATGGCGACAGAGCTAAACAGACCTGCTGCCGATTAGTTGGCCCAAGAAAATGCCGTTTTAAATAATTACCGCAACAGGTGTGTCTTTCTACCTCAAGATACGGGATAAATGTGTGTGTCTTCCCCCTTCAATATCCCAAATGAAGTTCTGAGTCTTTCAGCCTTAAGATCCAGATTAAATGTGTTTGTCTTCCTACCTCAAAGATTTGGACTAGAAGGAGATTCACCCAGCTGAAAACCAAGCAGAAAATCTCTCACAAGTGTGCCCACAATCTCTGTATTGGAGTTTGTTCCTGATATATTCAAGTTGACAACCAAGAATCACACCACTAAAACTAAATAAATTAACTGGAAGGAAGATACCTATCACCTTGTACGATACTGTAAGGTCACACTTCTGTTACATAGAAGCATAGGTGAACATGTGTGCATGTTACAGGATGCTGTGTGGTCAGCTATGTGCAATGTTGAAAGAGATGGACATGTGTGTGTTTCTTCAATGTCAGTAATTGAATAAGCAATAAATTTACAACCCTCGTCTTGCTGGTTACAACTTGTCAAGTCATCCCAATTTTGCTGGATAGCTGGTTGATGACAATAACACGCTCTTTTATTCCAATCTTTCTTTGTTTTTGGTTTTGTCTGCTTTTGTTTGTTTTTGTTTTCAAGACATGGTTTCTCTGTGTAATGGCCCTGGCTATCTGGCTGTCCTGCACTGGCTTTGTAGAGAAGGGTGGCACTTCAATTCACAGAGATCCTCTTGCCTTTGTCTTCCAAATGCTGGAATTAAAGGTGTATGCCACCATGCTTGGCTTGTTTCTGTTTATGAAATAGGGTTGATGTGTGTATTACTGGTTGTCTTGGAACTCCCTTAATAGACCAGGCTGGCCTTGAACTCACAGATCCACATACCTCTGCCACCTGAATGCTGGGATTAAAGGCATGCACTGCTGCCACCCTGACTGTTTTATTCCAATCTCAGTTACCAATGTGAAGACTTCCACTGCACATTAACATATCACACAGTAATATACAAATATACAGGCAACAAAATGGCTAAGAAAGGGTTAAAGAGGTTTCAAGAGTTCAAAGAGTCTACACTGAAGTCCATAGAGGCAGATGGAGAGTCTGGAGAGACCAGAAAACTGTTAGAAACTACAGGTGCTACAGAGAAAGAGTAATCCTCCTGGGTCTGTAGGTAGCAGCTTCTGCCCTGGAGACCATCTCCCCAAGACTCAGAGGCAGAGCTGTGTCCTGCTCCTTTCCTATAGTGAATGCTGTTGTTCCTATGGTGATGTTGGCTGTAATGGCAGGCATGAGCTAGATAGCCCAAGGAAGTTTTATAGATGAGGACTGAGAGGATTTTTGATTCTTGCACAAAAGAGCTCTGGATCTTCTATGAAAATTCTATTCACCATCTTTTGGAGTCAAGTGACCCAGTGATGGTATAGTCCTGAAACATGAAACTGGATCTACTCTTACCAGTTTCCATGAGTTGACTAGTGACTTTCTCTGGTAGGAGGTATCCCACTTGTATCTTAAGACCTGTGTCCTCTTGATGGGGATGGAAACTCTTGCTTCCACCAAGTCTCCCAGAAACCGCCCCCAAACTTGTTTTCTCAACCCTCAGCTCCTGGAGCAGATGCTTGTTTTATCACTTGACAGGGACCAGCCCCAGCTGTTCTTTCTTTCTTTCTCTCTTTCTCTCTTTCTCCTTCTCTCTTTCTTTCTTTCCTTCCTTCCTTCCTTCCTTCCTTCCTTCCTTGGTTCTCTCTTGAAGGTAATCCAAGGGCCTGAGGAGTGTTGGTGTGGGTGAGATATTTAGGGTTGCTTTTAAATAATAAAACATTTACCTATCTTAAGATATTTAGAAAGTCATTTTACTACTGTAGCTGACCTGCCTGAGTTCCTTTGGGGCCAGAAACTGCAGTCTCTGTGCTTAGCTCCTCATCAGGGGATTAAGTAATGTGGCCTTTGTTCTATCTCTGCAGGAACTACCCTGCTCTAACTCCCATCCTGCAAGTTGAAGTTGCAGGAAGAAAAAGGGATATGTTTAAAGTGATTTTAGCCTTTATTTCCAAGTTCTTCAGTTCTCCAAAAAGTTTCTACAAAAGTTCTCCAAAAAGTTCTCTCCGCTCTCTTCTTCTAATCTTGCTTTCCCCTCCTGCTCTGATGTCACAGGAATAATGTCCTTACTGCCAATGCCATTACTCCCAAGGCTATGCCTTTACTTCTAAGTTCTTCTTGAGTTCAGTTCTGTTTCCTTTCTTTGTCCTCAGCATGTAAACATCTTTCAGAATACATGATCACATGGTAAAAAGTTCACCACAAGTTTACACATAAATTCAAATCATAAATTGAACAAGAAGTTTACAACAGAGAATGTTTACATGCATATCCATTAGTAGTAATTATCTGGCTGATTATTCATTCTCACAAGCTCAACAGATTCATTGAAAGTTAAAAAACATAATTTTTGTGACTAGGTTATTATTGAAGTTTTGTATAGATAAACTCAGTCAATATTTTATCTTCTGTTCTTGCACCTATAGTCAATCCTTTTTATGAACTTTGGTTAACGGATTTACAATCTCTTGGAATGTGTTCTAAGATGAAGATGCCTGCCTGCTATCTCAAAAACAATTAACTCATGAGGCTTGAAGACTGGCAGAGTTCTCATTGCAGTTCTGCTTATCAGAGAGGACTTAATAGTGGTACTGTTTTAAAAGAACTTATAATTACTAATATAATTTTATGAATTCTTATAGAATCATCATTTAGAATTAAGAAATCATCTATTTGTCTTCCAGCATCACTGCAAGACAGTATATCTTCATAGTTCTGCAGAAATCTGCTCAAAAGAATAGGCTAATACCTAGTGATTGTTATATATATTTAATAATAACAGGTAAAGCATATTAATAGCAGGAATAGTTCCTCAGATAAAGATTTCCCAGGTCTTCCTAGAGAAGCAAATCCATCATTAACTTTATAGTCCATGGTGGACCCTCAGGAAGATTACCTGCTAATTTTTAGCTTCTCCTTCATGGCTCCTGGTACCACCTGCCCTTGGTCCTGATCAGCCCCTTTTCCTGTATGAAGGCAGAAAAGGGCCCCCAGCCACCTCTTTGGAATGCACACAGAGAGGGAGTAATAGTCTCTCTTCATTCCCTCCCCAGCAAGCTCTAAGCAGTCTGTTGCACCCAGCTGATGGAGAAAGAAAAAAAATAGTACCTCTTTCCTCTTTCATGGTTCATGTCTTTTCAATCAATAATCCTTATAATTGGAAAACTCCAAACACATCATTCTGTGAAAAGAGTAGAAAAAAGTGCACCTGACTGGAAAGGATCTCAGCCAGGATGGAATGGATTTTCCCTTCTATCCAACACTAATCAAGGAAGTTATTTTCTCTAGGCCCTTTTCAGAAGGATTAAAGTCAACTGCTAAAAAGATTGCCTTGTCACCTAGCAACCCTAGGTATTAGAAAAAAGGTTATACAAATTAGATGGAATTCAAGGTATAAATAGTTCCTAGTTCCAGGAGGTAGCTCAAAAGGTATTTAATAACAACAACAATACTAAGAGACAA